TAAAAAAAAAACAAAAAAAAAATGACCAATTATAACAATCTGAATGCTTTACCATTTCTTGATGTAGCCCATCCTTAGGGGAGGAAAATATGAAACCCAATTCATAATGTACAAAAGAATTTTTTAATATTCATCGAATGTATTTCATGAAGTTTATTTTTGTTACAAAGGAAAAGACTCATTTGTAAGGAAATGAAAAATTTATTTTGATTTTTGTAAAACAGTTTTTTTGAAATGCATGTTCATAATATAAGTCAAGTAAATAAATCTTCCCAAAAGATAATATTAAACTAAAAACCCTGAAAATGGTAAAATTTTATATAGTCCTTTGTCCATTTATTTTCCACCCCTTTGTTCCTAGTTTTGTTCTTGCAAATCATATTCGACTTCTTTCAAGTAATAGTCTCTGTAGGGTGTTATCTTTATGTCACCTGATAATTAAATTATGTAACTTGCTTGTAGGATTTTTTTTTTTTTTTTTTTGCTAAATTCACCTTTTTTTACAATCTATGAAGATGGTTTTACAACAGAGCTTAAAAGAAATTTCTGGCTTTGTGAAAATAAAATATTAATAATTTTTTTTTTTTTTTATCTCTGACTAGAATTGTAATTTAACCCTTAAATGACCTCCATTTGAGAATCGTGATACATCAAAATCAATTACTATGAATGGCTACAAAAGGAATGTCTTTTTCATTCCTTTTGCTTAATATCCATTGTTGCAACAAGAGGAACTTTAGATATTTTTTTCATGGCAGACGAGTATTAATTTTGATTTGCTTTATTGGTGATAATATACAGAAAAGACTAAAATACAATCTGTGCCGACACATAGTGTGAAAATACAATTCATTCTCGTCTGATATATAAAAAAAAAATGTCTTAAAATATGTTCCACTTGAGGAGCAATTGAAAGATAAATGCTGAGAATAAAGATTTGTATTGTTTTAAGAAAAAATAGAGTTATCTCCCTTTTATTATAATTTACACTTTTTATATTTACCTAAAAGAAAAAAAATGAACTGAAGATTTTCCTGGAAAAAAAAGTGGAAATTAATAAGAAAATATTTAATAATTAGTTTGTTGAATTAAATTAAAAATACAGATAATGGGACACACAGACTTATGACATTATCACAAAATTTGTTTCTTCCAAAAATTTGTTTTAAAGCAGTTGTTCTCACCCCCCCACCTTTTTTTTTATCCATGGGCCACTTTTTACTCTTCTTAAGCTTTTTTTGTTGGACCCTATAACCATTCGATGAAAAAAAAAAAAAGCTTATTTTATTTTTTTATAATAGATAAGTTTAGGAATTGTATTATAGAAATTATACTAATTTAATGAAAATAAATTTAACAATTAAATTCTATGGAATGTTTATGTACACTAGTAAAATAACTCATAATAAACCATTTTAAAAAGGCCGCCTGTGAACCCCAAAAATGTTACATGGACCCCCAGTTGAGAACCACTATTTGGAAAGGGACAAATTTATAAGGAAATTATAACACTGTGTAAATAATTATAAACCCCCTAACATTTTATATACAATTGGTCTTTTGATGAACAATACCCCAAGAGTATAAAAATAAAGCTAAACCTTTTTTAAGATCTTGTATGGAGTTCTAACTCTGTGTAAATAATTATAAATCCCTTTATATTTATAAATACAAAAATACTTGTAAAAATGAGAAACAGAAAAACATGAAAAGAACAAAACAAACAAGTCTATCATGCACGAACATACATACAGGCATACATACAAAAATACGAATCACATACAACGCCAAGCATTCATTGGTTAATTAATCACCACTACGTTATTATAGACAATTTACAAATCGCAGTAATGCGACAATTTTGTAATCGCTCTATTTTCATGTAGTCAATTTTGTACACTTTTGGGAGAAATGGATCACAGAGGCTTTCTTAAGTCTCCCCAAAGCTCGCTTGCTGATTGGTCAATGCCAACCAATAAGATCGTCTGCACGTGAAGAAATAATTCTTCCCGCACAGTGATCTGGAGCCTATAGTCACTTGTTTAAGCAAGAATTTTTCTTAGCTAATTAGTGGGAATTCAGCTGCCAAACAAGTCTACGACAGTTGAAACCATGCGCCAACCTTCTCACTCACACACACCACTCACATGCTGAACATACCTTGTATCTCCACTCACATAATCTTTTCTAACACAGCAAATCTTTTAAGAACAGTCATTACAAGAGACTCTCATGAACATTATTCCAGTGAACTTTGAAATACTAAAATAACAGTTAAAGAGAGACAACTCTTGTCTATTGCATCCTTTTCTTACTTAGATGCATGCTTTCTTTCACATCATTGTTATTGTACATCTTGTTAAATACATATTTTATGTGTAACAATGTCTTTGGTTTATCCTTTTCTGCATCAGCCATGTTTCTAAAGTTAAATTAATGTCGTGAAGTCCGCCACAGAAGTATTATTTATTCTTTGTTTGTTTATGTGGTGTTAGAGAAATGAATGACCCAAAACTGAACCCAGTGAAACATCATCATGTTGCACATAGACGTTATTTCTGTGATCATAAAATGGGACTTCAGTAGTACAGGTTTGGATCCAACCTTCATGTAACTTCTACATGGCCAACCTAGAAAATAATATATTTAGTAACACCAAGAAACCCTCCATGTACCTATGTAGATCATATCCTTAATTTAGTTAAAAACATAGAAGAAATAATGGAACTCAAAAATCTTTTAAAAAACTCTATCCTCAAGTTCACATACAAACTTAACAAAGATAACAAAATTTTTTTCCTTGACATTTTAATAGACACAAATAACAACACATTTACTATGTCTCCATATAAAAAAAAAAACAACCAGCAAAAAATCTTGCACTCTCAACTATAAGAGTGAATGTCCAGATTACTACAAAATGGCACTTAAACAGAATTTAATTAACGAGTACAAATTAATTCCTCGACAAAAAAGATTTTCTACACAGAACTAAAAAATATTAAGCAGACTCTCATTAATAATGACTTCCCTAATGACATTGTAGATGAACAAATAAGACGATATATAAAAAATCCTCAATACACGTCAAATAGAATCTAGTACTTTCTCAAAGGCTACTATATTATAATCAGATGCATGCTAACTACAAACAGGATGAACAAATGATAAAGAATCTCATTTATACTAACATATCTTTGAAGGATTCTAATGAAAAAAAATAAAATTAATCATATATTATAAAAAAAATAATACAACCAATTTAATTATTTGCAATAACTCCTCCCCACTAACCAATGTATTACATAAAACCAACATCATATACCAATTTAAATGTTCCTTGGGTGAATGTATCTCTGACAAAAAGAATCAAATATATATGTTGGGTATATGACAAATACACAAACAAGAAGACTTACACTCCACATGACTGACCATTCATCCATTGCAAAACATCGACAACATTCCTGTCCACATTCACAATATAAAAAATTACTAATTGACAACACAACTATCCTACACCATGAAAACAACAAATTCAGATTACAGATACTAGAAACAATTTATATTAAAAAATTAAAGCTGACACTGAACAGAATCAACTATGAATACTGCTCTAATAATGTTCTAAAATGTCTGTAAAGGAACAGTTTTTTTTTCAGGCTTTAATGCGCACATGACTATGACATTATAACCTAAAGAGAAAAACTTCCATAATGGATAATTTTTTTTCACATTCTAATGAATGCTCAGCACATTGTCAACCGTTTTGCATTTAAAAGCATAATGAAAAATTACGGTAATGGAAAACAACGCACATCTTTATATAAATACTGAAACTAATGAACAACATATAGTTTTGTACCACTTGCACCCCTGAAGATGATCTTGGATAAAGATCAAAGGTACTTGGGAAATGAAAATAAAAAAAATTTAAACAGCAATAGCACATTTCTCTCATCCTTTAACATCAATACATGGAAGGTTATTCCTGAGTATGAATGGATTTTATTAAAAATTAGCAAATATAATGCCTGTAATTTATTCAATGTATATATATTAAATAGAATAAAAATCCAAAGTTACCTCATTTGAATACCTATTTCAACTCACAAGACTTCCTTGTAAGCCTTGTCAACTCAGAGATATGAAGCTTTGTATCTCTGAATTGACAAGGTCTACAAGGAAGTCTTTTGTGGGTTGAAATAGCTATTTGAATGAGGTAATTTTGGATTACTCTGTCACGTAATTTATATGCTCTGTTATAATAAATACATTGAGCTCTCTTTGCGGATCAGTTTTAATATTTTATATTATTAGGATTCATTTGGATTATTTACCAATGGATTATTACATCTGTGTGTGTGTGTGTGTGTGTGGACTACAGGTTACAAATCAAATATAAATATATGAAGATAAATATAACGATTATCTAATCCAGCAAGGACCTATATTTCTTTGTTCAAAAACACATGCGAATACACACAATAACATATACATGTATATACACATAGGCATGTACCCACATATACACATACATACATGTACACACATATAAAAATATATTCACATATCCACACATAGACATTTTCATCTGCATACACATGCATATATACACATACATATATATGCGTACATAAAAAGTAAATACTATGAACAGTGGAGTTTTACTTTGTTTCTTCTTCTCATTAGTATATATATATATATATATATATTGGCCCTCACTAATCTTGAAATCAGTAATCCAATCCAATTCAATCATTAATCTGTCAGTAATTTCCAAAAGAGCAATTTTATATTTCTGAGGTCACTTGAGATATTAACATTTATAGATTCAGGCTTGAGTTGTATTTTGTTATCATCTCTTTGCATTGAAATTGAGAACACAAATGGCTTTCTTTGTTGTCTATGTTCTGATGATGATGCAAATAAACATTGAAATATGACTTTTGCTTAACTATGAAAATGAAATAAGTAAAAAGAAAGAAAAAATGTCAAACCTGTGCAATGGCAACGGCACAGCTGTAGCCTTCAAGCTCTAAAATTTGTTCGAGACTGAATGCGTATTCGGTGAGTAACTCCTCTTCGATTTTTTGCGATTCTTCTTGGCTGTTCAAAGAAAAGAAAAGAAACACAAAACAACTGAAATAATTTGATTTGAGAAATTTATTTCTGAAAATTGCTTCATCCATGCCCTCTTCCCCACCCCAATAATCATCATCATTCCCACTTTGATCCCAAATAATCATCATCAATCCCATAATCCATTAGATTATCTGACAACAGGTCAAATTCAATTACAAAAGGTACTTAAGAATAGTGTTTTCTTTCAGCAAATGTCCTCTGCACAATCCCAACAAAATAAGAAATGCAACAGAAGAAAGATGAATCATTTGGGGCCATCCATGGACAATAAAAATGTAAAAATGAATGGCGACAGAATATTAGGGTTTTTGGAAAATAATGTCTGATGTTAGAATCAATTTTTATTCTTGAATCCATACATTTAAACATAGTTTAAATCAGTCAAAATAAGGACCCTAATCATTTATAGATTTTTGTCATCAAGCTATAAGCTTATTGATGCTTTTAAAATAAAACTCTAAAGGGTTGGATGCTAAGAAATCTTTGAATGTGATTTCTGCATCTTCTTTGCAACAGAATGTCTTTTCTTTTTTCATGTTCAAGATGAGGGCATATATAATGTTTTAAGATAAATTCTGAAAGAGATTGATATAAAATTAACAAAGAAAAAACTTTAATCATTGGGAATGAGTAATATATTTTTCTGTAACTATTATAATAATTTAGTAGAACATAATTAAGAGATTTATTCTAAAATTCAGTCTTTACAGAGTGCGATGGATAAATTGTCCTTTAAATTATGCAAAAATAAAAATAACACTGACATTTCATTTTAATATAATTACCAAAATTACACAAAAAATATCTTGAAATACTAAAGAGTAAACTTATTCAATAAAATCGCCATTGGCTTCAGCCATGGCCTCTAGACAACTTTGGAATCTCTTGCAACTCTTCTGGATGGTCTCCTTGTTTAAGTTGTTGAATGCTGCCATAATCTTTGCTTTCAGTTCATCTTTGGTGCTACAAGGAGTTTTGTTTTGACTCTTGCTCAACTGCACCCCACACATAATAATCAAGGGGGTTACAGTCTGGGGAGTTAGGTGGCCAGATGTAAGGGGTGATGTGATTGCAGAAATTGTCTGCCAGTCATGACTGGGTTCTACTGCTTGTATACCATGGTGCAGAGTCCTGTTGTCAGACATAGGGACTTTGAGCAGCCACCCAATTGACCCAGGGCAGCATTACCTCTTCAAGTCATTTGATGTAGGCCTCTGTGTTGAGACTGAGGCCCTCACCAACAAATTTGAGAGTTCCTTTCTTATCAGAAAGATCAGAGTAAGTTTTCCGAGCTGTATTCATAATCACCATTAGCCTCATCCAACTCTTTCCAAATTATCTGCATTGTTTTCAGATTGATGCTCAGACACTCTAAAATGTTTGTATTGGAGCTTCCGGTGTGAATGTTCAGGAGTACAATATGCCATTTCCAAATTTCTGGTGGAATGAATTGTGTCATGGTGTTTGTTTTTCTCTCACAGATGGTGCTGAACTCACCCTAACAATGTGTATGTGCAAAATTTAAAATGGCGGCAATTTAACCATCACACCCTGTATATTAGAACACAATTCAAAGGTTTATTCATAATTCAGACATTATTTTCCAAACAAGCTAATATAAGAATTTATTCATAAAAAACAAAATGCAAAATGTGTATGAAAAAATTACAAAAAAAATATATTTGAAAGGTCGTATTTTTTGTTATTTTGAAAAATAGAACATTTAAATGCTTGCCTTGTTCTACATTCTAATAAAAGTGGATCACCAGCAACCAAGAAAGAAATGGGTACAAAATATTGGCAACAAAAAAATACCAACAAAAGTCATTTGTATTCAGAATTTCCTTTGGAGCAAAAGGAAGATCAAAATCAGACATTTTTTTAACACTGATTTAGTCACCTTGGATTCCCAAAAATGGATAGTCCCCTGGCGTCTGCCTCCCACTACAACTGCACTACACTCTCACTGAGTCAGGACAGTAGTGGGAGGGAGTAAAAGAAACAAGTTGCCAATTAGTAATTAGGAGAACTTTAAAAATTTTGAGATAACAAAACACTCCATGTGACTAACACAAAGTAAAAAAAAAAAAAAATCAAACTTTGTAAAACTATTTCAACATCTTTATTACACATATTTCAACACTCACTCTATTTCTAAGATGAGGTATTGTAACTATTTACATTGTTTAGACTGTTGTCCTCATCTTCATTGCCATATTCACCTTCAACTTTTGTCTCTATTTCTAAGATGAGGTATTGTAACTATTTACACTATTTACATTGTTTGGACTGTTGTCCTCATCTTTATTGCCATATTCAACTTCAACATCTCTCTCTATTTCTCAGATGAGGTATTGTAACTATTTACACTATTTACATTGTTTGGACTGTTGTCCTCATCTTTATTGCCATATTCAACTTCAACATCTCTCTCTATTTCTCAGATGAGGTATTGTAACTATTTACATTGTTTGGACTGTTGTCCTCATCTTTATTGCCATATTCACCATCAACATCTGTCTCTATTTCTCAGATGAGGTATTGTAACTATTTACACTATTTATCATCAGATGAGGCATTTTGGACTGTTGTCCTCATCTTTATTTCCATATTCAATTGCCATATTCAACTTCAACATCTCTCTCTATTTCTCAGATGAGGTATTGTAACTATTTACACTATTTACATTGTTTGGACTGTTGTCCTCATCTTTATTGCCATATTCACCATCAACATCTGTCTCTATTTCTCAGATGAGGTATTGTAACTATTTACACTATTTACATTGTTTGGACTGTTGTCCTCATCTTTATTGCCATATTCAACTTCAACATCTCTCTCTATTTCTCAGATGAGGTATTGTAACTATTTACACTATTTACATTGTTTGGACTGTTGTCCTCATTTTTATTGCCATATTCACCATCAATCATCTGTCTCTACTATTTCTCAGATGTTGGTATTGTAACTATTTACACTATTTACATTTGTTTGGACTGTTGTCCTCATCTTTATTGCCATATTCACCTTCAACATCTGTCTCTATTTCTCAGATGAGGTATTGTAACTATTTACATTGTTTAGTCTGTTGTCCTCACTATTTACAACATCTTGTCTCTATTTCTCAGATGAGGTATTGTAACTATTTGTTTGGACTGTTGTCCTCATCTTTTATTGCCATATTCACCTTCAACATCTGTCTCTATTTCTCAGATGAGGCATTGTAACTATTTACACTATTTACATTGTTTGGACTGTTGTCCTCATCTTTATTGTAACTATTTACACCACTGTTGATTCACCTTCAACATTTGTCTCTATTTCTCAGATGAGGCATTGTAACTATTTACACTATTTACATTGTTTGGACTGTTGTCCTCATCTTTATTGCCATATTCACCTTCAACATCTGTCTCTATTTCTCAGATGAGGCATTGTAACTATTTACACTATTTACATTGTTTGGACTGTTGTCCTCATCTTTATTGCCATATTCACCTTCAACATTTGTCTCTATTTCTCAGATGAGGTATTGTTTCTATTTATACTATTTACATTATTTGACTGTTGACCTCATTTTTTTTGTCATATTCGCAACATTTTCACTATTGTACACTCTGGCCTTCTTTAGGATATGTTTACTTTTCTGAGACAAGGTATTATGACTATTTTTCAAGATGAGGAATTGTTATTTTTACACATTGTTGTTTGTCCTCATTTTAGATATTCACCCCTTCAAAAATATATTTAGATTTCTTTAAGTTTGGACTGTTGTCCTCAATGGATTCAACAAGGTTGTTGATGTCCTCATCTTTATTACCATATTCACCTTCAACATATGTTTTGATGAGGTGTTTATTTTGTTGGTCCTCATCTTTATTGCCATATCACCTTCAACATTGTCTCTATTTAGTTGTTAATTGTTTTGGTTCACAGATGAGGCATTGTAAAATCTTTATTTTCTCAACACATAAAGAATTATGTTCTTTTTAATTCATCTGGTGGCATTAGTAAAATCACTTCAACATTTTATTTTCTCAGATCTTAATTGTAAGTAACATTGTTTGAATATTCATCATCAAAGGTGGAGCTATTTACAATTTAATAAAAGACTTATGACCAAATCATATTGTAACACACCAGTTCTCATATTGACTGAAGTTGAACCTATTGACCTTAATTGGGTAATCACTTGGGGAATTTACCAAGTTCTACAATCTTAGATGTGTAGGTGATGTAATGGATAATGGCTTGGAATTAGAAGTCATAGAGATGATTTCCAATTCCAGTTACATTTACTATATTCACTTATATATAAATATCCTTGGGATAAAGTATGAATTCACCCATTCTCCCCCCAGCTATGGGTTAATTAGTATCAGTAAATCATTATTTCCAAAACATTCTTACAATCTAAAAATATTTTCTGACTTTAAATAACCAACAAAAGGTTGATAAACCATAAAAAACAATAATAAAAGGAGTTTATCTTATTAAAATTATTAATTGCTATTTTTAAATTTTCTTTAAATTCAATCTCTGTCACTGTAATTATCATGAGTTTAATAGGTTTGTCTAAACAAAAACAATTTTTTTTAGCAAGGTTACATTAAAAACAACTGCCTGTGATTAAACTTTTTATTTAATTTTTCTTGTGTTTTGGCTATTCTTTCAGCCATTAACAAAATAAATTTGGTAATGGCTAACAGAATATCTGAAAGTGCTTAGACATACAAAACATTGGGACTGTTTTTACACACCTTATGTCCAATAAATAAAAAGCTCAAACACAGTGCCTTGTCAGTTAACTTTAATGAAACCTGTATAAAAGAGCAATTGCTGCCCAAATACAATATATATATATATATATATATATATTGTGTATATTTAGGCAGTAATTTTTCATTCATACTTGTTTCATTAAATAATATAGACAAGTTTTGTCTATTTTAAGTAAGTCAGAAAAATAACTCACTCTCCAACGAATGCGGTAGCCAAAATACATCAATTTTTCCCTCCTGATTCGAGAACACCAACTGCTTATATCGGCCGAACATTTTTTTAATTCGTCGACAACTGGAATGGACTTGTTTTTAATTCAAATATTCTGTCTTCAGTATGTCATACGTCCCCATTTTTTTGGTAAGTAATTTTCTTTTCCGTCGTATGATACCGTCGCTCTGTTTAACAAGGTAAGTCACCATTTTCTTCGCTATAAGTTCTTTGTTTGGTATTCTCTATCCCCAGT